GATGTACTGATATTATCAGTCGTATTAAACTAGTTACTGACCCAGAAGAAGAGAGACTATTCCTTTTTAAAAGGCCGGCAACGCATCTGCAAATCCTCTGATGTTGCAGTTGTTCATGGGCGGCGGTAATGACTTACCATCAGGTGAGCCGTATGCTCGTTTACACTCTCCTATAAAAAAAAACCCGTACACCATATAATGTTCACACTATAAGATAGTTATGAGACCACCTTGTGATCTCGTTATAAGGTATTGATAAGTGAGTAATTCCTACGCCTGGATGAATTCTCGAGTTAGCATTCCCAGGTGATTGTGGAAGGTGGGACCTTATTTTCCAGAATAAGAGATTTTTTTAGCGAAATTATCTATACCGCTTAAATATATAGAAATAAAAACAGCGACGTTGCTGTAGCGCAGCAGCTGAATGACAGTGTAACCAAACTCGTAAGCCGAATTGTTAACACAATTTTCCATCAATATACATATCACTTATTGTGCAGAGCTATCGCAGCCGTTCAGAGCGTTTAATTAATTAAAAATAACACAAAAGACCATTAAGAAATATTTTATTCATAAAGTATTACAAGAATACTCCTTACAAGTCTTTTTTCTTTTGCTTTTACCACTGGGTCTCCAGTCTTCAAGGCCGAATTTCACGTGGTCCTTATTTAGGCCTCGGTGTCCATTTTAACGCAGACTAGCCATCTGTCTACAGGACTCATCGAACACAACCGGAGAGAGATCAGTTTCAACCAACGGAACCAGACCAACAGGGCAGTTAAAATAATTACAAGTATTTTATAACAATTTTACCTAATTATAAGTAACATAATTACGACTGCAATTAATTTTAACGTAATCTATACAAATAAATAAAATTGAAGAGTCTGTTTGTAATGCCAAATAACAGCTGTTTATAAAATGCGTTTTAAAGTATAGATGGTACTTACAACAAGAAAATAATTTTTACAATTTTTCTCTGTCTGTTTGTTCCGACTAATCTCCGAAACGGCTGGATCGGTTTGACGGGATTTTTATTGGCAGGACAGCTGATGTTATAAGGAGTAACTTCTTTTTTTTAGAAAAAGAATTAGGGTTACGCGCAAAGGATTTAAAACCCATTAAATTAAATAGTAATAAATTCCACACGGGACAAAATCCCGGGGAACAGCAAGTTTAAAATAAATTGAGTAAAGGTTACAATAAAATACGGGTCAGTAAGCTGAAGTAGCAGTGAATTGTACCATAAACGACGAAACAACAATCTATGAGGAAGAAAGGCCTGATTAGCAGACTCGTACCGGTCAGTGGAGTGTAACATGGCCCTCTGCTAGACGGTGTGAATGACCTGATAAGACATGAAAGAATTTAATTGATACGGGTGGCCCAGGACTGTGCTTCGTGGCATTACTTTACTTGACTCCTTTTCTGCTTAAGAGAGTCCATCTGGGTAAGTGCTTCTCTCTTACCTATTTCTGCCACCATGTAGCAGTGTTTGCACTGCTGTATTTTGATGTAAAGGATATAGAGAGTCGGTTTAATTACCAGCTATGAAGCAATTCATCTTAGTACTTAAAGGTGACTACAAATCTGTAGCCTACTTGGTTTCCATATGGTTTCAGAGTGCATAGACTGCATAAAACAATTATCAACAGGTGGCCTGTAAGTTCGTTTTTCACTTCAGTTTTATAAAAAAATTGTTTAGAGCGGCTAATTTTTTTAAATAAAACTGAAGTGAAAAACTAACCTTTTCCCCATTGCCCCAAGAATGAATTACTGACTCTGTGAAGTTACTGATACTGCTAGCATTTGTCGGTTCCTAGTATTTACAGAGTGAATATCACTTATTTCTTTAAAACTACCGTGAAATCTGGTCACTTTGCAATTTTTGGAAGGACTTAAAAGCTTAGAATCAATTTCCCTATATAAAAGGTACTCTAAGACTGCTGGTGGGTTTCAATGTTAAAAGTGACACTATATTATTCATAGATTTCATATTAGTGATTTAAACAAATGTTAACATTAATTAGACTATATGGCTCTCTCTAAGGCTCGCTGAGCGACCTTGAACATCCTCATACGGCAAGCAGTGAAGGATTACGTCTCAGATCCATAAGTCATCACTGGCAACACGCACTGCGTACAATCTCGTTTTCATCTGTGACCAAGACTTGTACAGGGCCGTTATGATGAAGATGATGATGAAAATAACCATGAATAGCAACAAGCAAGATGCTTTTGTCCACAAACATCTACGTCTATCCTCGATAAAGATTTAAAATGCAGATGCTTCCTCTGTCTCTTAGTCCTCAGTGTTGGCACCTGAGGACTAAGTTAGAATGCCTCATTATTACCAGTAAAAGCGACCCAGTTCTTGTCACCGGAGTCAACGTACGTGTTCATCGTGCTGCAGCCATTATACACTTCAACGTGACTCTACCACGTTCCTGCTATTAATAACTAAATTTGCAACCATTATAATTAAGAGTTTTAAATTTTGGCAAAAACTCTCGCTGTGTTCAAATTTAAAAACATGATTCTAGAAGGGAATTTTTTTTGTATAAAATATTCAAAATATACTTTTACGTAACCTGAAGACTGGAATTTTACTATTCGTAATTTACATACTTACATTTAATTTAAATCTAAATTTCCAGACTTAAAATTTTTGTAAAACATCTAATAGTGTTAAGCAGCTTTTTAATGCGTGAGTGGAATATTTTGCCGGTATCTTTCTTTTCAGCCGAATACAATTTTGGCGTCTTCAACGCAAGACTAAATAGACTTTTGTTACGCTTCTTACTCTCGCACTTTTTCCGCCACACAGCGGAGCCTGTACTGCTGTTTATCGGTATGAAAGATAAAGAGAGCCAGTAAAATTACAATCTGTGAGGCATTCTATGTTAACCCTCGGAGGCGACAACACCTCTGTAGCCTTTATTTGATATTAATTGCAGATGTACATTGGCTGCACGTAAGTTGCATGTTCCGTGCAGGATTCGAATCTGTATTTCGAAGCGATACCAAACGCTTTGCCATTGCATTATCGAAGCGTCAATTTATTTATTCCGCTTATTTTTAAGTTTTATCCCCCAAAATTCAACATAGATTCTTGAATATGTTCGCCCGTAATATTGTATATTATATATCGCTCTTCCTCCTGGACCGCCGCAAGGTGCACTCGTTTGTAAAACTAAAGTCAATTACATTTTCAAATTTAAATAATTAAATCAGTGTTGATAATTCGAGAAAAAAAATAGGAGTGCAGAAGGCGGTGGTGGTGAGCAAAACTGTGAGTCAAACCTACTTATATTCTGATTGCCTAGTACGCGTCCCCCTTCTGCGGACCTATTTTATGGTCATAACTCTGCGTATGCGCTTAGCCTATCTGCATACGCACTTCGGCCATTTTGGCGTTTTAGTCCAACACACTCAAACGTGACTCCACCCCTTTCTTGCCATAGGACATTGCTGCCGCACTGTTTTTTTGCACCATTTTGCGACTACGTATTGAATAGTATAACTAACTCCTATTTACTTATAGTCTCCTAATCTTGAGCAAATGGATACCATGAATAAATCGTTGTCAGATACAGAAGTGGAAATTGCACATCAAACAACCCCACCAAACTACTTAACTGCCTGGAAAAAGAGAAGAAGAAGTGAAGATTACACCTCGGAACTGGCTAATTAAAAAGAAGAAATAAAAAACATGTTCTCATAGCTTATAAATTCCAAAATCCTGAATTTCAAAAAAATGCAAGCATTCTCAAAGTAATCCAAAAAACTAACCAAAATATCGAAAATTCTATTTTTTGACAGAACAAAATAAGGAATTTCAAGAAAGGATCTCTAAGCTAGAAGGACAAATTAAGGAGGACAGGAACTATAGCTGTTTCAGAAGACAAAATAGAGGACATGCAAAAAGATAGACGTAAAAAAAACTTGGAAATCAAGAACGTACCAAGAAAGAATGACGAGAATAAAACAAACCTTATTGAAATGGTTTTAAGATTATCCAACACTATCGGCTGCCAAATGCTAAGTTCAGATATTAAGGATGTGTATAGAGTCCGTGGAAAAATAGAAGATAATAAGATCACTCCTATCATTGTGGAGACATCGTCTACAATACAAAAAAATGATTTTTTGAAAAAATTTAAGAAATTCAACATAAAAAATAACAAATCAAAACTCAGTGCTCATCATTTAGGACTTAAGTCTTCAGGTGTAGAAAATAACCCTATCTTTGTATCAGAGCAGTTAACAGCTAAGACTGCCCGACTCTATTTTCTTGCACACGACCTCAGCAAGACATTTTCGTATAAATTTTGTTGGACATCTTACGGGAAGGTTTATTTGAGGAAAGACGATAACTCCAAAATAATACTAATTAAAAATGAATCGCAAATCCAGGAGCTGAAGATAGACACCTGACTAAAAGCCGTTCTACAATATACATGCAATCTCCTCGTTTATATTAGAGTAAGCTCTATCGTGTTTTCGTATATTTATTTTTTGTTTTAAATGTTCACCACACAAATGTAAAATAGCAATCACTCAGACACACTTTCACACATTCATCTTACAGTAATACAACACAGTCATATCTTAACAAACAGTTCGAGAATACACAGACTACTGTAACTATTTCTACTTCTCTTAGGTTATTCTGTCACCCTACCTACCTGCACATTACGCTACTACATATTATACATATATAAAAAGTTTTATTTTAATTATTTTATATCAAGCTAATCACTTCGCAAAATTACCCTCTACTAAATTGTTTATAATATTCAACAAACTCTATAACGAAATTGCTAATGCATTTTTTATTTTATAAAAGCAGAATTAACAGTACATTTTCTACTATACAAGACTTGGACGATTCAAAAATAGAGTAGCATACAGTCTGCGCGCGCGCTCTCAGCGAACAGACGTCTGTTGCGTAATAGAATTTGACAAGTCTACGTTTGGCTCGGCTAACTAAAAGCAAAATGCCGAAGTTGCAATGTAAAAAGTGTAAACAATTTTTACCAAATACCAAGGAAGACAGTGTGGAGTGTAAAAAGTGCAAACATGCCTTTCATAGAAAGTGTGTAAAAGATATAAGTTGTTTTAGTGCTAAAGGCATTTGTGATACGTGTGAAGAGGTAAAAACAGGGGGCGGAACGCCACGCTCACCAACGACTAAAGACAATGAAGTCGTACTTGAACAAATTAATGAACGAATGGCTATAGTGGAGGGAATGAGCAAAAAATTGGAAGAAATTAACTTACAGCTTAAATATTACGCAGAGAAGTACAAAGAAACGTTAGATTTTAAGAAGGAAGCTACTGAAAAATTCACTAAGCATGAAAATCAAATTAAAGATTTGCAACAACGTAATATTCACCTAGAGAAGCGCAATAAAATGATGGAAGAACGTATATGTGTATTTGAAAATCGAGAAAGAGAAAAAAATATCGAGTTGAATGGTGTTAAATACAAAGAAAAAGAAAATATACTCGAAATTGTACGTAAAATTTCACATATGATGGGAGTAGAAGATGACATAGAGAGTGCTTGGCGGGTGGGAAGAGAAAAAAATAACGGAAAGCCGCGCCCAGTTTTTGTGCGATTGAGAAGCTGAACGGCTCGCGACAAATGGATGAATGCACGAAAACGAGTTATAAACAATAATCAGCTGTATGGAGATAACAGCGAAGGTCCAATTTACATAAATGAATATATTTCTACACAAACTCGAGAACTATTTTACCTTACCAAGAATTAGGTTCATATGGATACAAAATTCTAAAATACTTATTAAGAAAAGTGAAACTGAAAATAAAATTCATCAAATCAAAAGTGAGAAGGATATCGAAAAACACCTTCAAGGTGATTGTAATTTGCGTCTTTAATGGTAAAAAAAGGGCACCATGGTGCAAGATGATAACAATGGCATTTACTATGAACGAATTAATAACAAAGATCGTCTACAACTATATATAAAAGAACAAAATGCGTCAATAAATATTGTACATTTAAATATAAGATCTATGCGTAAAAATTTTAATGAAATAGTAGTGTTGTTGGATGAACATTTGAATAAACTAGAAATTATAGTATTAACCGAAATAAACATAAAAGAATATGAAATACCATTGTATTACATACCGGGCTACAATGCGCATGCGTATACAAGAAATAGCAGAAGAGGGGGAGGAGTTTTAATGTTTGTTAAAGATACAATAACTTGTACACCTACTGAGTATAGCGGGCAATCTTGTGAGGTGTTGCATGGCCTTATGACAATTATGTATGATCGACCTATATATATACTAATAAAAATAGATTTGTGGACGAGCTGGATGAATTATTGCGGGGTGTCCCAGCGACGACCGATGTTATCCTGGCGGGTGATGTCAACATTAACATTTTATATGGTACAGAAAATTCGTCAACGTCGAGATATAAAGACATGTTATGTAGGTACGGATTGCAGTGCGCCTATGATGATGTAACGCGAGAAGAGATAATTGATGGGAGATTAGTAGTGTCCTGCATCGATCATATGTGGGTAAGGGACGGAGGATGCTCGGCGCCGCCTGCGTCGTTTGTTTATACAGCTCAGAAGATAACGGATCATTATTTAACGGGACTTACTTTGCGTACACGTAATTATGGAGAAGGTGAAAGGCCTGAGCATGTAAGTACATTTATTGATAACAAAATTGTGATAGAAAAATTGAGTGCAGTTATTTGGTCAAACCTATTATTAATTAACTGTCCGTTAAAACTTTATGATAAATTGTGTGAAATTTTCGATGAGACATATAAATGCGCTATAAAATATAAAACTGTGAAGAAAAATAATAGATATAAACCATGGATTACAAATGAACTAATTCTAATGTCTAAAAAAAGAGATGAACTTTTTAAAAGGTCAAAATCTGCTCCTCAAAACATGTGTTATCGGTTAGAATATACAAGATATAGAAATAAATTAAATAAACGTATTAACCAAGCTAAGAATAACTATAAAAAAGAGTTAATTATTAAGTGCGGAAATGATATGAGAAAAAAATGGATGTATATTAATGAATGGATAGGTAAAAAAAAATTAAGTGTGGATGATATTGTATTACAACATTTTTCTAGTAATAGTGATATCAGTTCGATTTGTACAGGCTTTTCTAAAACATTTACACACGAAGTATATAGAATCAACCATAAATGTAATATTAATTTTTTGGGCAGGAGTAAATATGTTAATGAAAGCTTGGTAAGTATAAGATTTAAAAAAACGACACCAGGCCAAATTGCAAAGTTAATTAATGAATTGTCGTGTGAAAAAGCTCCTGGTGTTGATGGAATAAGGGCCCAAGATTTAAAATATGTCAAAGACCAGATTAGTCCTGTCATTGCTAATTTTATTAATTTATGTGTAGAAAAAGGTACATATCCAGATAGGCTTAAAATGGCAAAAATTCGACCCATTTAGAAGCAAGGATGCCATAAAAGTTATGAAAATTACAGACCGATTGCCATACTTTCTGTCATAAATAAGTTAGTTGAAAAAGTAATTGTTAAGCAAATAACGGATTTCTTAGAGGATAATTCTATATTAGGCGACCATCAGCATGGATTTAGAAGAAATAGGAGTACAGCTTCAGCTATAACTAGTTTTACAGACTATATAAATGAAAAGTTAAATGTAAGAAAACATGTTGTAGGAATATTTATTGATTTTAAAAAAGCTTTTGACACTTTAGAACATAATGTCTTGTTGAAAGCAATGGATGAATGTGGTATACGCGGTCCTATTAATAGGTGGCTAAGTAATTACTTGAAAAATAGGAAAATAGTGACAGTCATTAAAAACATTACGGGAAACAAGGAAAATGTAAAGTCAGGTGTACCTACTGGATCTGTTTATGGACCTGTGGGCTATTTAATGCATGTTAACAGTATATGTAACGTAATTGAACACTGTGCTGTTTTTATGTATGCAGATGACATGTGCATCCTCTATACTGACAAAAATCAAGATGAGATAGAGAAAAACATACAAAGTGATTTTCACAACATAACTAAGTGGTCTCACGATAATGGAATTATTATTAATACAGAAAAAACTAAAGGACTACATATGTCATCGCCGCATAATATAAAGAATGCAAAAAAAAATCAGGATAGTGGGTCACTCTTATCAATGTATACAAGACAATATGTTTAAATGTGAATGTACAGTTATAGAATTTGTAAAAAAAATTAAATACTTGGGCTTAACAATAGATAGAAATATGAACTGGAGTATCCATATAGAACTGGTATGTAATAAATTAAGAGGTATTTTAAGTAAATTCTATTTTTTGAAGAACACCTAAAAATGTACTGTATGTTGTATATTACGCACTAGTTGAGTCAACATATTACAATATGGATTAGTAGCATATGGAAGGACACTTAAAACATATTTAGATAAATTGAAGCAGTTTCAAATTAGATTTATGAAAATATTAGTGAACCCAAAAGCTAAATTAAAATATAGGGATAATTATGAGTAGCTCTTCCAGGAGTGTTTTAATACCAATACATGAGCAATTTAAAATATCATTTGCGACATGTGAAAAGTATTATACAATCTTATGTGACGCATTGCGTAGTTTTATCCCCATAAATAAGAATACGCGCAGACCACATAAAGTAATAACTTTACAATATAAATGTGCTAATTATTATGGTAAAAGAACGTTCCAACATTTAGTAGCAAAAATTTATAACAATTTGCCCCATGAATGCCTTACGCATAAATCAAAACAACATTTTAAAAATAAGTTAAAAAAACTTTATACTAATAAAAAGTAAAAATGGAATGTATCATGACGATCCATTGTACAACATCATAGGTAAGCTGTAATATTTAGGTATGCATATATTTGTACGCATGTATGTGTATATATGTGAAAGCGTACATGCAAAATTTATGCATATATGAAAAATGCCGTTATCCTTTAAATTATTGAATAATGTTATAGTAATACTATTGGTTTGTCATATTAGTGGTAGTATAATTGTGTTAAGCTAGTTCTTTTTTTTTCTTTTTTTGCATGTTAGAAAGTAAGAGAGCATTTTTCTGCCAACAAACTGCTGAGCAGTTTGGCAGACTGTAAAAATAACTAATTATGTTTTTTTTTATGTTAAATAAATATAAATAAAAAAAATAAATAAGAACTCTATTCAATGTGATATACAGGATATAACTAAACATATAAATGTTTTCAAAAATGATATAACCTTAATATGCCAAAATATTCGTAGTTAATTTTGAAGTTGATGTTCTTATGTTAACCGAGTGTAGACTCATTTATCTAACTATATATACATCACTTGCAACAAAATTTAATTTAAATCAAAATGATGGTGTAGTGGTTTATGTCAAAAATAATCTTAAGGCATCTATGAAAGAAGTGAAATTGGATCATGCTTCCTGTATACAGATAAATATTTTTGACCATACAATTTTATGTATTTATCGTTCTCCGTCGAATCCAAATGCGACAAACTTTATCGACTCTATTAGTTCTTACTTGGACACAATAAAGTCATGTCGTAACATAATAATAACGGGTGATATTATTATAAACCCAATTCCTAAGCAAAACGAAGGATCGAATAAAACTAATAATGGGGATAATTATTTGAATATGTTGTCAACTCATGGAATGCTACCTGGTCACTCTCTACCGACTAGAGGCGCTAGCTGTTTAGAACATTTTGTTAAAATTAGACTAAAGAAAATTTTCTTCGCATATAGCAATCTTAAATACAAGCACTCCACTTTTATAGTAAAATAAAACAAAATCAAAATGTATCGAAAACAGTAGAATTTGTAGACTACGAAAGAGCGCTCTCAATATTAATGCAGAAGAATATCTCTACATTACTATTTTGTGACGACCCGAATGTAGTTGCCGAAAAACTTATAAAAAGCTTATCTAAATCCTTAACAGAGAGTAAAATTGCAAAAAGAAATCATAATCACAACGCACCATTAAACCTTGGATTACACCTGGTATTTTAAGGTGCATTAGAAACAGAAATAAAATGCAAATGCAACTGCGTTCGGATCCTCACAATGTAATTTAATTTTAGTAATGACCTATAAAAGATACAGAAATTTCTGTAACAACCTACTAAAAAAACTTAGAAGAAAATTTGAGAGAGAACAATTAAATAAAGCAAATAATAACAAAAATACTTTGGAAAACAATTAAAGAAATAACAAATCTAAAACCTAATAAGACCATAAACTCTGATTTACTAAATATTAAATTAAACCCCTATTATTCAGTTAACCATGTTAACGACTACTTTTCAAACATCGGTAGAAAGCTTGCTGAGGATATCCAAAAATATGACACCTCTCCCGAACCTGACAGCCTAAATAGGCTTAAATCACATTTATCATCATTTGCCTTATTAGAAACTGATCCACTGGAAATTGAAAATATCCTGTCAGATCTTAAGTCAAATAGTGCACCTGGCTAGGATAATATCTCTACTCAATTTCTCAAGTTTTCTAAATCCCTCGTAGTTCCCGTGATAAGTCATTTGACTAATCTCTGCTTACAAAAGAGTATTTTT